ACAGTGCCGGCGCTAGGTATTGCGGGGCCCTGGTCATAGGTAATAGCCTTTAGGTTCTCAGAGAGTAGTGAAATTTTAGCTTTTTTTTAAATCAAGATTTTAAAAAAAGTACTGTTTTTATATATAATATAGGTAAATAATTAAATTTAAATAATGCTCTGTCAATTCTTAATGAATCAAGATATTTTAATGAAACAAAAATCAAATTAAAGATTATTTTTATCTTTGTTATTCACTTGCCCCATATATAATTTTATGTAATACTAATAGCAAAAACAATCCGATTTTGCACTTGCCCCATGAAAAGGGGCAAGTGTGACGTTTTAAAATTAAAAAAAAAAAAAATTATTCTTAGGTGAGTGATAATATAACTTTGTTGACTATAAATTCCAATTATGTAAGTATATCTAGAGGTGTTACATTATGGAACAATAACAACTTTAAGTTAAAAACAAAAAAAGTATTGTCAAATTCAAAATTAACTTTTCATTTTTGCGTCACACTTACCCCACTTTACCTTACCTATTATACTTGAGTAAACGGAGACAACACATTCGAGTGCGATTCCTCCTGATGAAACCTAGCTCAGCACAGAATTATTGGCGTAGCGTGAGTTTCAGTTAAACCTTTGAGTGGAAAATCGTAGGCTAATAAATTCATAAGGGCTGGTTATTTTATTAATTTACATTTATTTTAACAACTACATAAAATCATCAATTAAAAATAAATTAATTCATCAAAATGTTTGAATAAAATAATAAATTGTTTAATATCTAAGTACGCGACCAGAATAATGCAATATACGACGGTAGACCACGGTATTCGTATCAAGATGATAATTAAAAATCACGGGGCCCTTTAACAAGCGCGGGGCCCTGGACAAATGTCCCATTTGTCCTCCCCTAGCGCCGGCACTGCTTCTAAAACCTAACCTCGTTTGGAACTGTCAAACACTCAAACCGACGACGACGTTTGTGTGTCCACAACTCCGCCGCTACAAAATAAAACACAAAGTACCTAATATAATATCAGTATTTAATAGTTTAGGTAGGTACCTAAGTACCTATATATTTATTCGACCAGTGCATGAAGAATATACCTAACCAGTAGTAACCACCAAAACATTCGGGACCCGGTTTATTAGAAAATTCATCGTAACTTTGTCAAAAGCTGAAAATGTATTTTTTTATTCTGTAAAATCAAACACGGTGGTATCTTGTATAAAATATAGTTAAGTACCTACCTATTATTTTATATCGTTCAAATTTCCTTATGCTTATGGTCGTATATTTATCAGTGTTTAACCAAAGCGTACATCAATAATATTCACATACCATTGTTTTGGTCAGCCCAGGTAACACCCCTAAAAAATTGTGATCTTTTTTCTTATTCACAAATAGCAATTGTTAAACAAAAACTCTTATCGGGTGAAAAAGTGCAGGAGTATTTATCTACGAGTGTGTCTAATGTTTTTGATTACAATATGATAAAAGTATAAAAAAAGTTTGTAAAGAAATGTTGATTTAGAGTGAACCCGAAAAAAACCATTATAATATTAAAGACCCAAATTTTATTGTTTGACTTTCAAACATTTGAAAAATTCTAAGACTGGAATAAAAAAATTTCGGCTTTTACTCATTGGACTAATAAGTTAAAAAAAAAGTGTAAGCTCGGTCTATATTGTAAATTTTACAGATGTCTTTATTAAAGTAAGTCGATATAATTTGACAGGTATACCATATAATACGTAGGTATCTATATACGTGTCATTCCCAAAAAAAAAGACGTCATACAATTTAAATGTTAAATATAATTATATAGGTTGATAATATTAAAATATTAAATCTATGTTACTTACCTGTAATTTATTTTGTTCTGAAGACCACGAGTTATTGTTGTACCTACTTGATCGATCACATATTTTAATAGCGTAAGATTAAAAATTAGTATAATAATTAGATGCTAATATGTGATGCTCTGCGCAGAGCTAGGAGAAAATATTTACCTATTTAAGTGCCATAAAATAATTAATCCCCATTAATGATACATCGTGTCTGCGATTCAATCTGTGATCGATTTAAGATATGAAAATATATACTTATTATATTATTCTATCTATGTATACGATATGACCGTATCTGGACCAGACGACCTATGAAGGCTGTAATCGCGTAGTTAAATAAGAGTCAGTTATAATCTGAGATTGAAATGTTCAGAAGAAACCGTTATTTTTCAGATATATAGATATGATCAAATTAAATATTATTAAATTACTATATTTATAAATGAAATATATATTTATGTTATACATACCTATATGATATTGTGATTAAATACGCGTCCTAAGTAGTAATAGATTAATTGTACAATATAATTAGGGTACCTATTAATTAATATTATTTATGTTAAAGAGGTCAAAGTCGATGCATTAGAATTAATGTATTGTTTATTAGAATATTGTAATAGTTATAACACATTTTTTATTAAATATAGATTTTTAACAAATATAAATTCTTAATAACGGCCAAGTGCCAAACGTAAAAGTGTCCCTGTCATTGTGTCAGTCATTCTTTTAGAAAACAAAAAAAAATTAGGAGAAATTAAACAATATTACCACACATTGAAGAATTCAAACTAAAATTTCCAGATTCTTAAACAGATAACACTATTTAAAATAATTAGTGCAGGTTATCAATGTTCACATCTAAACAAAATATAAAACTAGAGTTAAATAACTAAAAAAAAAAAAAATTGAAGGGGGGTGTTGGCACCTGCAGGAAAATGCATTTTAGAAAACAAAAAAAAAAATTAGAAATTAAACAATAGGACCACGCATTAAAGAGTCAAACTATAAAATGTCCAGAATCTTAAACAGGAAAAAACTATTCAAAATGATTAGTTCATTCAAGAAAGATTATTCATAGGGCCCCTGCAGGTTATCAATGTTCATGTCTATAAAAATATTTCCACTATACTTAAATTAAAAAAAAAAAAAATTGAAGCTGAGAGTTGGCGCCTGCAGGCAAATGCGTTTTAGAAAAAAAAAAAATTAGAAATTAAACAATAGGACCACACATTAAAGACTTCAAACTAAAATGTCCAGAAACTTAACAGAAAAACTATTCAAAATGATAAATTAAGGAAATGCTAATATAAACATTCAGTGAAATTTTCATGTATCTACAGTAATCCGTTTTTGAATTACAACAAAATAAGGAAATCGCTACATGAGAAATCGAGTGAACATCCAAAATTTGAATTTCAAACGCTCATAAAAATTTAATTTGACTGTCCGGTAGAGATTTTTTTATTGATAAAGGTAGACAAACTTATGAGTAATCTTGTATTACATTTTCAAATCTTAGATTTAAAAAGAAAAATTTTTACGAATTCTTAACTCAAAATAATTTGCTAATTTTCGTGATTTTTCCATATTTTGTCAATTTTTGAACTTTAAATGCTTATAAAAAAAAACTGTGACTAACGATTTTTAATATTTTTCATCTGCCTTTGAAACAATATACTAGGAGCCTTTTATTAAATTTTCAAGTTTTTTTAACCAACAAATAAAATTTTATTGATATTTCTAGAAAAAAAACTAAAAAAAAAATGAAAAATGAAAATGTCCCTAAACAGTTCAAAATAAATCAAAATATTTTGAAAATGTTATCGTGTATAGAAAATGCAAATATAAACAACCAGTGAAAATTTCATGTATCTACGGTCATTTGTTTTAAAGTTACACCAAAAACCAAATCAATTTTCTGAAAAATCGATTTTGCGTAAAAATTCCCGTTTTTCCTTAATTTTTCTTTTGTTTTTGTTGGCGCTTTTGAAAAGTTCTGGGTATTTTAAATTTTGACCTCCCCAATGCACCAACGATATTCACTTTCCAATCGAACAAGATACTGAAGTTGAAAATCGAAGAATTATTTCGACTACTTATCGTATACACAGACACAAAAAAAATAAAAAAACATACATCATTGTAAAATCAATACATTCATCGTTTCACTCAGAATCTAAAATTTTAAATTTGACTTAAATTTTTTTGAATAACTTCAAAATAGCAAACTTGTGAATCTGATCTTAAGAACGATTTGGATGGTAAAAACATTTATCTAAGTCTAGTAGTTTATTTTTTAGAATTTTTTTAAATATCAATATTTTTTTGATAAAATCAATTTGGAACGCAATAGCTTTTTAAAAAATATTATTTTTGGAAATTTTATAACATGGGTATATTCTTAAAACTATTTACTAATCATATAATTTCAAAAATTTTTGTCATACATTTAAGTAGCATCAATTTTTTTTTTTTTTTGGTCAGTTCTTTCTGTTACACATGGTATATATTATATGTATAGGTCTAATATTTGCTATTGTTGACATTTTGATAATATATTGGAATTAATGTGATGATTTTTTTGTACATTTAGTATTAATTTTAAAATTTTTCATAGATTTGCCTCTCGTGGCCTAATCATTTTTTGTTCTGTTCAGATATTCTAGTATTTGACTGAGTACAGAATATCAAACACATGTATCATACTTATATTTCGTTCACCGAACGAAGGTCGTTAATTTGCGTATATAAATGCGCATGTGGATTTGGTTGTTTGCGGCAAGGTGCCAAGGTACGACTCTTTTTGTATTCTGTGCAGCCACTTTCTCCAGGCGAACAAATATACTTGCAATGAACAAAATGTTTAAATATTTGATTGGATTGTATATTCCAAATCGTCTTTTAGTATTTTATTAGCCATTAGGTACCTATTTACTTTTTAAAATAAATTAACTAATATTCCGCTTGTTTTAAGAATTTAATTTTTAAATATCACAATTTTAATTAACATAAAATATATAGTATACTATAGTATAGTTATGACTACAAATCATAATTTCATTATATTCCTACTTTTGAACAAAATAGTTATCATACCAACTATAATAACTTGAATTAATAGTTGAACTTATGAAATATCTTCATTTATAAATGTCTACAACCGGGTTGGTGTTTTAAATTGACCCATCAATTTTTTATCTGGTGGTTTAGTGTGAACAATACTTAACGGTGGAGTTTTTCCAAAAGCATTTAACATTTTTATTCGTTTTTGAGCTGGAGAACACTCAGATTGAGATGTACTAGAAGTTCTTACCACGGCGACGGGTAATTCACTATATGACTTATGCAATGTATTTCTTGATTTGTTTAAACATTGTTCATTATTTATTGCCGTTATTTCTCCGCGTCTATTACAAATTTCACTAAGTTTAGTTTGGCAGCACATCAGAAAATTTTGATTCTGCAAATTTAATTTTAAATTAATACATATTATTTTATACTGAATATATATCCATATAATCAACAATTTATAAATTCAAAATGTGAAGTCATTTTATGTTATTTAAGTTTAATAGTATGTATCATATTTTATTAAAGCATGTGCAAATATAATATTATTTATTAAATTTATTAAAATAAATATTCATAAAGGTCAGCTGTTAAACAGGTTTTTACCAGCCTTTATGCTGTTTAAAAATTAAGGATAGAAATATTGAGTAAAACAATTTAGGTTATAAATTATAACTTGCATTACTTTTTTAAATGTTTAAACATTTAATTCAAAATATTATTCATATAGTAGACAAAGGTAAGAATCCAAATCACATAATTGATATTTTATTATGAGATTACTCATTAGATGAATTACTATTTACAATTTTCATACAAAACATTCATTAACATATAGACTTATATGATAGTACTTATTAATAAGTACTATCATATAAGCTCCTACATAAAGTATTTTAAATATTATATTGAACATTAATATTAGGATTTGTGAATAATAATAATATGTATAATGTAGGTATATATTGTAGAATTTTACCTTATATAATGCATTTTATGTGTTATGTTGTGCTATTATATAATGAACGAAGACGTATTGTTAAAATAATAAATTCTGTGAGAATGTCAAAATATAATATATAGGTACTAGGTTGTTTTACTCATATTGAAATGTAGCAAAATTAAGAGTAATTAAGTTAACTAGTTTGCTAACACTAGCTATACAAAAAATAATTAATAATTAAGTATTACAATTTGAAATATTAGTAATATATTTAGTTAAAACAGTTATAATTATTGCAAAATGTTGCATTAAAAAAGATAATTTGAAATTAGTATATGCTTTTAGTAGGGATGGAAAACGTTTTAAAAAAAAAACATTATGACAACTGTGAAACGATAACGAAAAATCCCAAAAACAGAAAAAATATAATAACAAAATCAAAAATAAACTATAGTATTATACCACAAAAAAAAAAAAAAAATATTTATGCCATTGAAAAATTGATAACTGATAACTAATAATTGGTGACAATAATTTTTATTTTTATCAGTGTTCATCTTTATTTTGTACTTACTATTCATTATTTTTGTTTCAATGCTTAAGTGCAAAATTTTTTATTTTGATTCTTAGATGACGTATTTTATATTTTTATTTTGAATACAATATTGTATGGTTAGGATTGTTTTATTATTTAGTTTATTTACTCTAGAAATCTTAAATATTGTTTACTTTACTTTACTTTACGTCTTTAGTCTTTATCATTGCTTGTAACTTGAAATTTTAAAATTTCTAATTTTCATATAAATTATAATTTTGGTTTAAAATTTAAGTATAAAGAAAAATTAATTTTAATTTTTAAGTGCATTCCTGTATTGCGTATTACTATTATAACTTATAGGAATTTAATATATATATATATAAAAAAAAAAAAAACCAAAAACCAAATTATCAAAAACGTTATTCGGATACAATATAGAAAAATAAAGTTTTTAAAAACGTTAAACAAAAACTAGAAAATGAAAAACGTTTTCCATCCCATGTTTTTAGGACACTCTGAAAACGTGTATATCATACAATATTTTTTAAAACATTTAAACATAGGTAATTAGATAATAAATTATAGTTCTTAAACCACTTACTTCATGCTTTTTCATAAACATTTTATAATCATCAAAAACATTTAAAATATATTCAGTCTTAGGAATTGTTGTAAACAAAGATTGCTCTGTATTATACAACTTAGGTATTGGAGATATTTGATTAAATCCTTTAAATTGAATATTAATCCCCGATATTATACTACCGGGGTACATCATGTCATCATATCCATATTCCTAAACAACATTAAATTATATTCTAAATTATAAACATAATTTTTAGTTCAAATAAGCTACCTTAATATTTCCTCGGAACAAAATACTGATTATATTCATTTCTTTGTCTGATACATAGATTTCATTATACGCATTATTTTTATTAACATCTGATACTACAATACCAACTAAATCTAATTCACCAAACAATGGTAAAAATGTACCAGAACAAATACTTTTAAAGCTTACTACATCACGTTTGACATATTCATTTTTATACCCTTGAAAATCAAAGCGAGTATTTTTGCTAGCTGACAATTGTAGTTCACCATTCCTAAACATATTGTTATTAAAATAAATTAAGTTAAATCTATACAATATTGATATATTTAAAAATTAAAAGTTTTCATACATAAACCCATTAGTAGTAATATGGTGGAGTGTACAACATTGACCTTCAGTAGATTTGTTCAAGATTTCAGTGACATCTTCTGACGGATTCCAAATTGTAAGTAAAGCAGCTTTAAAGCCAGTAGAAACATATTTTTCATCAACCACGCGTAACTATACAATTAAAAGTAAAATTATGTAAGCATTAAAAGTGATAAAGATTTCTATGATAGTATGATTGAATATAAAATTTGAACAAAAAGAAATGATATAAATTACACATTCAAAATACAATTCTAAGTAATGTCGGTACATTTTTACTATGCTAGGAAAAACCATTATGAAAATGGAAAAATTACAATTCAAAATACCATTCAGCTAAAATGTACATTATAATATATGGGCTGCATTAAATTAAATTAAATCCATTTAACCTTGTTATGATAGAGTAAATTTTCATATCATCAAATTTTCAAGTAAGAATATTATATAGTGAATCTCATAGGTTTTTTTTTATATATTTATTTTAAAGGGAGTTATGCTCATTTTAAAATGTACAAGCAATTTAACATTTTAAAATGCTGATAATTTGCTTTAAAATTAAAATTTAAATGTTATTATGACATTTTTGGTAATAGTATGAAGCTACCAGGATTTTTGGATTTTAAGGTCTATAATATGTAACATATAAGGTAAGGTTGCTACCAAGGAGCATTAGTGACAAGAGGAAATCATATTAATGAGAAGAAATGAAAGGTACTGAAATATTGATTTACTTCATTGTTTGCCTTTTTGTAAATATACATTCATACATGAAACATACACATAATATCCATCATTATTATTTATATACATATAGTAACATATAGTATACAATTATTGTTGTTTCAACAATTTAGTTAATTTCTTTAACGTAAAACATAGTTATGTTATGTAGATATATACCGCATATTAACAGATATTGCAGGAGTGACCCAGATAAACAAGCTCGCACAAAAGGCGATTAGACACTACAGCAACACACAAGTGTAGCACCTGAAGATTAACCGAGAAAGGCGGTTAATCGAGGTTCTATTGTATATATAGTTAAATGTAAGCAATTTATTTAGAAATAACACATTAATGTCTAAAGTTCAATAACAAAAAATATATATAAATTGTATTTACCTTTATCATGGGTATAACTTTACGAGAATCTTTAAATTGATCTTTAAACACTCTATTGACTCTATTTTGAAGTTCATTATAAAATCTTTCTTGCTCTGAATTTTTAAAATCTTTAAGAGCTTCCAATTTTTCTTGACTAAGCAATGACTATAAATAATTTTTAAATATAATATTAAGTATATTTTAATACAGTGTTTCCCAATGGGGGGAGGGATTCCTCCCTAGGGTAGTATTGAGGTAGCTATCAGTGGCGTGGTGAACATTTATAAACCTTGATGCCCAGCATATATTTCAGTACCTACCCCTTCTTTATCCCCTTAATATAATATCTAATACATATAATTATTATGGAACTGTAAATATTTTAATTTTTTGTTGTATGTTATTGGTTACCATAATGTACCCAACTACCCCACCCCAAAAAAAAAGAATTCACCATGACGCCTAGGCGTCATAAAATCCCATTCACCACGCCACTGGTAGCTATTACATGGGGACGGGGGATAACAATTAAGCATGTCACATTAAAATAGAAACTTTTTACACTAGTACCTAATATTAATATTGTAATCATATCGTATAGTTTAAATTAAAAAAAAATGAATAAGTTACTAAGAAAAAAAAAAATGATTACCTTTTTTTAAAATTTATCCGTTTTTAAAGCGATAGGGGAGGTGTGAGATTTTAAAAGTCTACAAGTGATGTTGAATTAAAATTGGAAAACACTGTTTCGATACTATATTTAAAAGATAAGTAAATTACTTGTATTTCCAAAGGATCAGTGGAACTATCTATTATATTGCTCAATTCATCTATACTTAATTTATCTAAATTTTCTTTTTTCATACTCGAAAAGTATTTTTTTGACACTTTATTTTTGGAAGCCATTTCAGTAATCAACTCAGTTTTTATCTTATTTGAAATTGTTTCTAATGACTTTTGTTGGTATGCTTTATACTTTTCTGCTTCAATAGTTTCCATTTTCTCATTCCTAAAAACTAAATTAATAAATTAATACATTTCTAATTATCATACCTAACATATTCAGTGGTGGGCCAAAACTCTCCATCCAACTCTTAGGTCTTACATGTACAATTATTTACAAAAAATTGCTAGAGCTTATCTATATTTGTTCCAAATATAAATACAAGATTATATTATTTTTTTTAAATAAACAGGCAGATGTCCAATTACAAAGTATTTTAATTAGTTTAATACCAGAAAAGTTATGGTATACAACAAAAATAAATATGTAATAAATATAAAGGCAATAAGTTTAAGACAAGTAATAATAATATGATATTGATATTGACATAAAAACTACTAAGTTAATTTTAGATTATTTCAAAGTTTTTAAACATGTTATAATTGGCAGAAATGAAAAAGTATACTCAGTCAATCATTATGAGACATAATATGAATTACATGAGGCCATGTGGCGTAATTTGATCGTAAAAGGAATATAAAATATGCATACATTGAGTTGAATGAACCAATAGTCATTAAAGAAATTTGTCACACTCAATTTGACTAAAATGCATTTTATAAAGAAAAAATATCCTGTTTTAACCTTATAATTTTTTAAATATCACGTTTAAAAGTTTGTAGTAGAGGCTCATATGGATTGTAAAGCTGTCTTGAGATATTACATTTAATACATAATACCGCAAAGAATGATGCATTCCTAAAGTTATATTACAACCTCAAAGATTCATGCATTTCTATTAGCTTGTAAACATGTTACGAATATGATATAATATTTTTTTTTTTTTAATCGAGTACTAAATCATTATTACTTTATCATGTAAATTAATGGGATATAAAAATCATCTACAAATCCTTTAGGATACGATGAATAAGTAATAACTAGGAATTGCCTGGCCTTAAAAGTAGAAAATCTTGGCACCACTTTACATATTTATTTTTCAATAATTACTATACATACTAGATTTTGAATTTGTTTTCTTTTCAAGAAACATGATAGGGTATTTTCTAAGTATTACAAGTGAAAGAGATCCTATTATTCCACCGTGCGGTAGAACTGATTCTAAAGTAATAGGTATAGGTGATGTAGAGTTTTTATAGAATCCTAATTTGGCATACCAGCGTACTCTTCGTGTACTGTTTGTTGATATTTTAAGCTTTACACCATTGTGAACCTTACATACACAAACAAAAAAAAAAAAAAAATCAAAAATTAAAGTTGTATTCTAATTTAAATAAATTAAGGGCTAGAAGTATTTAAATTGTACAATACAGCTATATTAAATTTATTAGCATGACAATATTCAAGATTATAATATAAAAGTTTTGTAATAACAATATAGTATAGTATGAATATTATTAAGAGGTCGCTACATCCGCATGCGCTGTCTCCATCTTACACATGTACAATCAAATGTACAACATAGCAAAAAAACTGTTTTGCTAAATAATAAAAACGCTACAACACAGATAAAGTTGTAACTTATGCGTAGTGGAATTTTGGTAATTCTAATACCGAGGGAGTGGATCTGTCCCGCACAAAACAGTTTTTTGCTATGTTGTACATTTGTAAGACAGAGACAACGCATGCAGGTATAGCAACCTCTTAATACCAATTTATTGTACTTAATGATATTTTAATATTCTTATAGCTAAAGATGTTTTAGTTCATCAATATTATATGATGCAAGTATGCAACACTGGATAAGTACTAAAATTATCGATAAAAAATCAATTTTTGGTTAACTATTGGTAAATTGATAGTTACATTAAAATAAAATGTAATTTTACAATAGACAAAAAATATTAAAATATCAACAAAAATCATAGGACGGCAGTAAGGTTATTATTTATTTTCAATAAATTAAATAATAATTAAATATTAAATTAATTAATTGAAGTAAAAATATGTATTTTTATTTATTTGTAGTTATGAAATATTTACATCTAATGGATCAATTCCTTCTCCAGCACCAATAAGTTCTGCATTGCATATTATAAGTTTAGTACCAACTTTTATAATGCCTTTATGTAAAAGCATATTCATCTCATAATCAATAATTCCTTGAACACTATACCAGCCATCAGTTAGCTCAATATTAAAGGTTTCAGCTGAATCTATCTAAAATACATAATAAAACTAAGTTACAAGAAAGATATATTCTTCTTTAGTTCATAAATCAAAGTTACTTTATAGTTTATTTATTTTAATTATAAATAGAATCTGACATTTGATTCTGAGTGTAGCGAATTAAGGTATTGTATTTACAATGATGTGTGTTTTATTGCTTTTGTCTGTTATCAACATTTAGGGTTGTAAAAATGCTCTGATTTTCGGTATCTTTTCGGATAGGAAAGTGAATCTAGTTGGCAAATTCTCAGTGGTTTTAGAAAGTGTCGGAAAAAAAAATGTAATTTTTACGCGAAACCAATTTTTGATATTTTATTGGAGCTCAAAACCTAATAGGTAACCATAGACACATGAAATTCTCACCAAATATTTGAGAATATATATAATGAGAATTTTTTATGTTTTTGGAAATTCATAAGTTTTTCTTTTTATCGCTAACATTAGAAATTCTAATAGAAGATTCTCAACAAGTTTTTTTATTTTTATCAAACAAAAAAAATGTTCAGTGGAAAGTTTCGATATTTATAGCCATGAGATATTTTTATTTTTATTAATTTTATATTTAATTATTAAATTTGATAATTTATACAGGTATGCTAAAATGACATAAAGTCTCATCTCAGAATCGTTTTTTGTATGCAACAATTTATCATTGAATTCAAATATAACACATTTATTGCAATGACATGCTTGACAACTACTGTACAGCAGAACAGTACCTACATCTCCACACCTTTTTAGATTCTGAGCGGAGCGATGAATGTATTGGTTTTACAATGATGTATGTTTTTATATTTTTATATTTTTTTTTGTGTCTGTCATCACGTTTTGGGACAGTAAAAGTGCTTCGATTTTCTTCAATAGTACCTTTTCTGATAGGAAAGTGAATCTAGTTGGTACTTTGGGGGGTCAAAAGTAAACATTTTCCAGTAGTTTTCACAAGCGCCGGGAAAAACAACATAAAAATTAAGGAAAAACGGGAATTTTTACGCAAAATCGATTTTCCAAAAAATCGAATTTGGTTATTGGTGTAACTTTAAAACAAATGACCGTAGATACATGAAATTTTCACTGGTTGTTTATATTTGCATTTTCTATACACGATAACATTTTCAAAATATTTTGATTTATTTTGAACTGTTTAGGGACATTTTCATTTTTCATTTTATTTTAGTTTTTTTTCTAGAAATATCAATAAAATTTTATTTGTTGGTTGCGAAAGCTTGAAAATTTAATAGAAGGCTCCTAATATGTTGTTTCAAAGGCAGATGAAAAATATTAAAAATCCTTAGTCACAATTTTTTTTTATAAGCATTTAAAGTTCAAAAATTGACAAAATATGGAAAAATCACGAAAATTAGCAAATTATTTTGAGTTAAGAATTCGTAAAAATTTTTCTTTTTAAATCTAAGATTTGAAAATGAAACACAAGATTCCTTATAAGATTATCTACCTTTATCAATAAAAAAATCTCTACCGGACAGTCAAATTAAATTTTTATGAGCGTTTGAAATTCAAATTTTTACAACATTGGATTTTCACTCGATTTCTCATGTAGCGATTTCCTTATTTTGTTGTAATTCAAAAACGAATAACTGTAGATACATGAAAATTTCACTGAATGTTTATATTAGCATTTCATATACACCATACAATTTTGAAAATATTTTGACTCTTTTTGAGCTGTTTATGGACATTTACAGCTTTCAATTTTTTTTAGTTTTTTTTTCTATAAATATCAATAAAGTTTTATCTGTTGGGCCAAAAAGTGTAAAAATTTAATACAAGGCTCCTGATATATTGTTACAATATCAGTTGAAAAATATTAAAAATACATAGGCACGATTTTTTTTATAAGCATTTAAAGTTGGAATTTTGACAAAATTTATCAAAATCTCGAAAATTATCAATCGTTGGAATTAAAAAATTATAAAATGTTCAGTTTTTATAACTAAGAGTTGAAAATTTAAAACAAAGATTCTCTTAAATAATTCATACTGTAACCAAAAAATCTAAAAAATATATAAACACACTTATTTTTTACAGACATTTTAATTTCAAATTTAGACAAAATTTCATATTTAAACCAAGAATTACGATTTTAGTTATTTTGTTGTGATTGAATAATACTATTCGTGGGTACTTGAAACTTCTAAAGTGTACTATTATATATCTATGATAGTATCACGGTTTTTGTTGATGTATAACGCGTTATAAGTATCTAATGGATATTGTGATATGATTAATTTGGAATTTATTATAGGTACCTATTATAGGTCAATTTTTTGTTTAATACCATAGATATGTATAATGTATATAATATGTCTTATACCTAGACTGACATACTGTCTCCGCTCAGAATCGTTTTTCTTATACAATGATATTATATCGTTGAATTCAAATTTAATATCATCCATTATACAGTGACCCACTTGTAACCTACTGTACAGCAGAGCGACACCCACTTGCCCACCTTTTTTTATATTGATTTTAAAATAGGTGTTTCAAAACGTATTACATTTTATGTTTTGTCATTAGTCAAATAACTGGGAATTATTTAAGTTAAAATAAAAGATGAATGTATTTTATGGTGTAATGTGTAACTAAAGTTGTACTTAGATGGATACCTACAAACCATTTTAAATATGGTGCTTAAAACATGAATTTGGTGTTTATTTATAAAAATGTTTTACCAATTATTTTATGTATGCACAATATTTTAAAATGTTAAACATTGTATATTATACATAACCAGGTAAATTATAGAAATTAAAAACAATGTACTGAAAGTTAGTAAAACTATACAGTTGAAAAGTCTAAAAATAATGTTAAACTTAAATTTGATTAAATTCAACAAAATATGTTGACTGTAAGCTAATACATACGACAGTCAAACGTCTTAAAAAAGGTAAAACTATCCAGATTCATTTAATATTGAAAAAACTATTGTTTTCATAAAAATATGCTTAGTGAAAGATTATAAAATACTTACTTTATTAACTTTTGAAACACATAAAATTATCCTTTTTGATGCAGTTTCATCTTTTTCGAGTATCTTTTTTAATGCAGATCTTTGGCATTTTTCTATTTCTCTATAGTATCTATATAATAGTTGATGAATTATGTTTTTTGCAGTTAATAACCTAAACATTTATAAACCAATAAATCTTTAACTTAACAATAAAATAGTAAAAATAGTTGTCGTTATAAAGCTAGTTGTGGAATGATAATTAAAATTAGACTTGGTAGTACTGAACATTGAATTTGTGACAAATTACCAAATATGAAAGGTAGTCATTTTTTTAAAATAATTTTTAATAATTTTAAGTTAAATGATTTCCCAATAAATTTTAATAAAAATATAAATATTGAGTAAGTACCTATTGAATAAAAAGTATTTTAAACATTTAAAGTTTAGATGATCAGATTAGTGGAATTCAAGTTCATAGTAAAAGAGCTTTGATTCTAACATAATGTTATAGCTTATAACTGTATACATATTTACTTGTTTCCAAAATGATCAGGAAAACAAATTTCAGTAGCAGCTAATTTCCATACTATAAAACGAAAATGGTTTTCTATCCATCCTTTAGGAATTAGTTTACCATCAACAAAATTGTGTGATAAAAATAAGTATTTTAAATCTTGAAAATTGTACATTTTATTTTTATGTCCACCAGATGATTTATAATTTCTGTAAAAAAACATATTACTATGTATTAAATTTAAAACTAAAGAAAATCTAAATATACTTTTCCCAATATAACTTCAAATGTATAGCATTATCAACATTCAATTTGATTAATTCTTTTGCTACACCATTCTCGGGAAACTGAAATCATTATATAATTATTAGTTAATACAATTATATGCTACATTGTTATAACAAAATATGTGTAACTAGGGATGGAACTTAATGGTTTTAATGTGATATAAAATATAGTTCATAGTAATTATACAACCCGAGTAGTAATATAATAAATCTATCTTTGATAAAAATACCTTACATCACATGCTAACATTACAATAATTCATCTTTAACATATTTATGGACAATAAATTGTTACATGAATATGACATATATAAATATGAAAATATATAATAAAATATACTTTAATTGAATTACTATTACATTATAAATAGGTACCTGTTTTATAGAAAATATTTTTGGTAAGACCCAATCAACAACTTCTGGTAATGATAGTTTGGGCCCATTCAATTTGTTTGATAAGTAAACACTAAATGAAGTATTTAACTCATCAATTTCCCAACCACCATTATGTACTGTTTTTTTAATTTTGTAATTAATTTCTTGTGTATTTATAGGGCTTCCTGGACGTTTATTTCTCAGTACTGGCTTACAAATAATTTGATCTCTTTCAAACTTTTCAACTGTGTTAATTAAAGACAAATCATCTTCGAATGTATTTTCTTCCACTTGTTTTAAAATTTCAAAACAGTTTGATTTTGTTTTTAGGTCATTAGTTAATTTTGAGACTTTGTTAGAATTACTGCAAACACTTGAAATGGCCATTGTTTCCAGTGGATTATCAAATAATTGAGTATCATCTTTAAATGTTAGTTGATTTTTTTTTAATGAGTTATCCGATTCTTTAATAGATTTATCTCCACCATTCAAAAATTGATTACATACGTTAGACTTTGAATTAGTTTTGTTCTTCGTAACTGATGATGAGTATTCATCATTTAATATTGTTTGAACTTTTTTTAAAGCCACATCTGATACTTTGATAGATTTACCTCCTGCAGTTGCAAAACCTTTACATAGATTAGGATTTATAACAATGTCGTCCTGAGTAACGGTTGAAACTTCATTCAATTCATCTTTTAATATTGTTTGAACTTTTTTTAAAGCCACATCTGATACTTTAATAGATTTACCTCCTGCAGTTGCAAAACCTTTACACAGATTAGGATTTATAACAATGTTGTCCTGAGTAACAGTTGAAACTTCATTCAATTCATCTTTTAATATTGTTTGAACTTTTTTTAAAGCAACATCTGATACTTTAATAGTTTTACCACCTGCAGTTGAGAAACCTTCATGTTTATTAGGGTTTGAGACAATATTATGTTGAGTTATTACTGAGGATTCATTTAGTTCATCTTTTAACATTGTTTGAACTTTTTTTAAAGCAACATCTGATACTTTAATAGTTTTACCACCTGCAGTTGAGAAACCTTCATGTTTATTAGGGTTTGAGACAATATTATGTTGAGTTATTACTGAGGATTCATTTAGTTCATCTTTTAACATTGTTTGAACTTTTTGTAAGGACTTATTTGATATTTTAATAGATTTACCTCCAGCAGTAGAGAAGCCTTTACTTAATTTATTAGAATTTATAATAATATTGTCCTGAGTAATGTTTGAAGATTCATTCAGCTCATCTTTTAACATTGTTTGAGCTTGTTGTATGGCCATATCTGATACTTTAATAGATTTACCTCCTGCAGTTGCAAAACCTTTACACAGATTAGGGTTTACAACAATGTTGTCCTGAGTAACAGTTGAAACTTCATTCAATTCGTCTTTTAACATTGTTTGCACTTTTTTTAAAGCCACATCTGATACTTTAATAGATTTACCTCCTGCAGTTGCAAAACCTTTACACAGATTAGGATTTATAACAATGTTGTCCTGAGTAACAGTTGAAACTTCATTCAATTCATCTTTTAATATTGTTTGAACTTTTTTTAAAGCCATATCTGATACTTTAATAGATTTACCTCCTGCGGTTGCAAAACCTTTACATAGATTAGGATTTATAACGATGTCGTCCTGAGTAACGGTTGAAACTTCATTCAATTCATCTTTTAATATTGTTTGAACTTTTTTTAAAGCCACCTCTGATACTTTAATAGATTTACCTCCTGCAGTTGCAAAACCTTTACACAGATTAGGGTTTACAACAATGTTGTCCTGAGTAACAGTTGAAACTTCATTCAATTCGTCTTTTAACATTGTTTGCACTTTTTTTAAAGCCACATCTGATACTTTAATAGATTTACCTCCTGCAGTTGCAAAACCTTTACACAGATTAGGATTTATAACAATGTTGTCCTGAGTAACAGTTGAAACTTCATTCAATTCATCTTTTAATATTGTTTGAACTTTTTTTAAAGCCATATCTGATACTTTAATAGATTTACCTCCTGCGGTTGCAAAACCTTTACATAGATTAGGATTTATAACGATGTCGTCCTGAGTAAAGGTTGAAACTTCATTCAATTCATCTTTTAATATTGTTTGAACTTTTTTTAAAGCCACCTCTGATACTTTAATAGATTTACCTCCTGCAGTTGCAAAACCTTTACACAGATTAGGATTTATAACGATGTTGTCCTGAGTAACAGTTGAAACTTCATTCAATTCATCTTTTAATATTGTTTGAACTTTTTTTAAAGCAACATCTGATACTTTAATAGTTTTACCACCTGCAGTTGAGAAACCTTCATGTTTATTAGGGTTTGAGACAATATTATGTTGAGTTATTACTGAGGATTCATTTAGTTCATCTTTTAACATTGTTTGAACTTTTTGTACGGTCTTATCTGATATTTTAATGGATTTACCTCCAGCATTAGAGAAACCTTTACCCATATATTCATTTGTTAAGGTATCATCCTGAGTCAATATTGGAGATTCATTCAGTTCATCTCTTGTGATTAATTGGCATATTTTTAATTTTTCATTTGAATTATCTTTTAATGGATTACTTTTTATTATGTTCACTTTACGATCAATAAAATCTATTGGTGGGCTCATCACTGCATCAAAATCTTTATTCAAATTATTTTTTTTTGATTTATTGCTTAAATTAGATATACTACTAGTATATTGTTGTGTCCACTGATCATCAAATGATTCTAATGGTTCTGTTATATCAGCTATTTCACACATCTGTGTATTTCCAATAGGATTCATTTCTTCAGGATCTAAAAAGTTACATTTGGAATCACTTATATATGTGTTCAACCTACTACTTTTAGATTGTTCACTGTCATTTTTGGATAAGTTAGTTTCCTTATTTTTTAGTTGATTTAAAGAAGTAAATTCTCCTTCAAAATATAATTTATTCTTTAATCTAGATTCAGTTAATACATTATCTTCCATACTTAATGCCAATTGTAATAATTTGTTTTCTTCTTCCGTGTCATTAAGTTTAGTGGTGCTATTGCCGTAAAGAAAAGAAGCTAATTTTTTTCTCTTTTTATCAGTATCAACACTTATTTTTATTTCTTCAGTTAAACTATCATCCATAATTTCTGACATTTGACACACTTGTTCTAATATATCCAGAGAAATGTTAAGTGAATCTTGATCTGTTTCCAAATTAGACATATTAATTGCCTTTTCTTTTTCAAATAAGCATCTTTTAGCTTTTTCATTCACATTATCTTCATTTGTTCTTATTGTATTATCTGGTACAATTGGAGAATCAATAAAAATACTTTTATGAGATGGTTCAATTAAAGTTTTGTTTGTTTTCCATTTGTTTAATTCATGGTTTTTACAAAGATTTGATGAATTCCGGTATTTCAATGGATTCTATTTGAGAAAAATAAATAGTATATTAATAATATTACAGATTACAAATATAAATATATGTTTACCAATGAAAAATCAATTTCTGAATGTGATTTATGTTGAAAAATATCTTTATGATTATATAAGTTTGATTTTAAAGATGATGTAGACATTATTGGACTGAGGCTGAAAAATAAATATTTAAAAAAAGAATATGACTTACAAGATGCCAGTATTAGAAACTTCTATAGTTCTACACTTAAGTACTAACTTAGAATATAACTTTAAATATTATTAACTCAATTAAGACAAATTAAGGACTAAATGATTTTTAAAAATTTTAAATATAAAAATCTTACTTCATTATTATTCTTGAATCCATTTCTGGTTTGCTAAATTGTCGAGTATTTGGTGTTGATTGTAAATTATTAAATAAACTCAAATGTTTTAAATTGTTTGGTGGATGAACAGATGGAGTTGACACTGTTAGGACTTCTGTTTCTTTACTTTCCTAAATCATATTAAGTTTTACATTACACAATTATTTATGTAATCATAATCATAAAAAACTTAAATAATTAAGCCAGATAATTTAGATTTCTTCAAAATAATTTCTTATTGCTGATGAATACAGCTTAAAGTAGAAAATAGTATTTAATATAAAGAATATTATATAAGTTTATAATAATATGTGTAATAAATTCTTAAATATTCTATGAAGGTTACATGCAACCAGAGGTGCATCCATGGGGGTTTAAAATTATTAAATAATAAAAAAATTTCATTAAAAAATCATTTTCAGATAAAATTTGTCAAAAATTAATTCTGGATACACCACTGCATGAGATATAATTACTGTTTAGCGTTTACTATTTCATACCTTTATTATTGGATTTGGAAAAGATAGTACACTACAATCCAATAAAGCTGATTCAATTGTAGGACTTTTAGTCCTTAAACTTTGTTTAAGTTCTTGACTTTTTTGATTTTCCATCTATAACAGACAATTTTAAAACTTATGAAAAAATAACAATAACAATAAAATAAATAAAACATAGTTAAGATTTTCATAAAACCACTTTAGAATAATTAATAATTTTTTAATTTTGCAATAAGAACTCAAGTACAATTATATTAATTTTAACATAGTAACATAGGAGGAAATCCATTAAAATTTTTGGGTGGACTAATATTATTACCATCAATGTGAGCATCTAACCAAGCTTATTACTTACCTATTACCCCATTGATTATAAGTATTAATATTTTATAATCAATGCTAGGGTTTATCTACATTTTGTGACGATAGGCGTAACAAGGGTTAAAATTTTGGGGAGGAGGCTTAAGCTACCTAAAAAAACTATTAATTAAAAATAATCCATATCGGCTTATATCAAAATCAATAAGGAATATTTTTCCGGAGGGGGGGGGGGGCTAGATCGTAGTCGGGAGGGGCTGAGCCCCCTACTAGTTGTGCCACTGTTTGAAACCTATTTTATTGTTACAAATTTTAATGTTTCGATATGTTTAAATTTTAGTTATAACTAGGGCTCAAAATTTGATAACTTTCCAAGCTAAAATTGTATTTCATTAACATACAAATCTAAATAACTAATGATAACTTATGATAGTTTTTGTTATTTTTTCTGTATTTCTATAGTAAGTTTATCTAATTTTTAACCAATTCCCATTGTTAGAAAGAAAAACAACAACTTTTTTTTTCATACTATGTAAAATTTTACAAATAAAATAAATTTGAAAATTTGAAAATCAAATAATTTTAGATTCTGAGTGGAACGATGAATGTATTGATTTTACAATGAATTTTTTATTTTTATTTTTATTTTTATTTGAGTCTGTACACTATAAGTAGTCAAAATAATGCTTCGATTTTCAACTTCAGTATCTTGTTCGATTGGAAAGTGAATATCGTTGGTGCATTAGCATTGGGGAGGTCAAAATTTAAAATTCCCAGTCATTTTCAAAAGCGCCAAGAAAAACAAAAGAAAAATTAAGGAAATACAGGAATTTTGACGCAAAATGGCGTTTGTTGTAACTTTAAAAGAAATGACCGTAGATACATGAAATTTTCACTGGTTGTTTATATTTGCAATTTATATACATTATAACATTTTCAAAATATTTTGATTTATTTTGAACTGTTTAGGGACATTTTTGTTTTCCATTTTTTTTTCTTAAAATATCAATAAAATTTTATTTGCTGGTTAATAAAGCTTGAAAATTTAATAGAAGGCTCCTAGTATATTAAAAATCCTTAGCCACAGTTTTTTTTTACAAGCATTTAAAATTCTAAAATTGACAAAATATGGAAAAATCACGAAAATTAGCAAATTATTTTAAGTTAAGAATTCGTAAATTTTTTTCTTTTTAAATCTAAGTTTTTAAAATGTAATACAAGATTCCTTATAAGATTTTCTACATTTATCAAAAAAAAAATGTCTGTAAGAAAATCAAATTAAATTTTTATGAGCGTTTGAAATTCAAATTTTAACAACATTGGATATTCACTTGATTTCTCATGTGGCGATTTGTGGGTACTTGAAACTTCTAAAGTACGCTATTATATATCTATGATAGTATCAGGGTTTGTTGTTGATGTATAACGAGTTATAAGTACTTAATGGATATTATGATATGATTAATTTGGAATTTATTATAAGTCAATTTTTTTTAATACCATAGATAAGTATATAATGTCTTATACCTATAGACTGACTACTGACATACCGTCTCCGCTCAGAATCGTTTTTCTTATACAATGATATTATATCAGTGAATTCATATTAATACCAACCATTATACAGTGACCCACTTGTAACCTACTCTACAGCAGAGCACCTTTTTAATTTATTAATTTTACAAGATAATTGAATTTTGAAACATAACAAATAAAATATTAACTAACTGTTTCATAAAAATAGAATTACATATACTATTAAACGGATAATTTGATTTATTTGATTTACTTGTATATTTAAATACGTTAAAATGAATTAGAAAAAGTATTATTTATCTTATAATTTTAATAATTAATACATATTTTCCAGGACATCGAATTTCAAGGCTTCAAGCCCTATAAAAAAAATAGAAGTAGTTGAAATTAACATTCACATAGAAACATAGTATATATTTTTCGTGAACCCTTCATACAAATAAATATTTATTTATCAAATACTTCTTTCTGTATTATCTTGAAGAAATAAACATAAATAATCAAGTAAATTTTAATGTACCTATCTAAATCTAGTATTTTTGTTATTAAAATTAATTATATAGATACAAATTGTTAGTGTTACTATTGTACCCACTTACAACTAATCAAGTAACTTGTTCATATCTAGTGCCACCACCACCGTATAATACACATATATAGAACATTGTATAAAAATATACCATAGTACATAAACAGAATTTATATTAAAAACAATTATTACCTTATAGTCCTTATTTATGAATGATAACTTATAAACAAATTATGCAACAGCTAACATTTTTTATTATAATTTTTTTTTTAAGTATTTGGGATTACAAATAAAGCACTTAAAAAATTATTCGTCAGTTTACTCTTAAACATTATCAAATATTTATTCAATACTTATTAATTTCATAATGCAATATTTATATATAGATACTATTCTGAGTAATAAGCAATGACAATTTAGTAAGTACTGACATTTGACTTTGGTCTTTAGATTTTAAAATTAGAATGTATAAGTATTGAGTATTGAATAGAAATTATAATCAAATACTTTAAAATTTAAATTCATTAATAGAGTAAATAGTAAAATAGTTATTAGAGATAAATCATAAATAACAGTAAAGCCAGTAAAGGTGTATAATATTGTGTATTTTTCATTTTAAAACATATTTTAAACAATATTGATACTACGGTATGCATTCTACGATAACCGATTATTTAGGTGCGTTGTGCGACCAGACAGTAAATAAAAACGGTTTATATCACTAGAAAAAAAAACGGTTTATATCACTTTCATGGATGAAAATATCATATTAGTTTGGCTTGGAGTAAACAACAAATAACATTTATCACTGGCCGCCGAATTAAAAAATATTTGAATTTTTAACATCATATTATTATAATATATACAAATACAATTTCACAACTGAGGCCGTATTTTTTTTTATTCACCGAAATTTTTTTAATATATTTCCAATCATATTGTGTACTACTTCACTTAGTATATTTATTAGGCAGTGGTATTACTTATGTGTTTAGGTAGTTGCAGGTAAGCATAATATAAGATTGTTAGTTTATTATTCATTATTATTCTCCTAGACTCTACACCATACATGTCAACTTATTGAACTTAAATAAACAATCTTAGGTACATATAACGATTCATTATTTGAATAATTAACCTGTAAGTGGTATGGTCTGGTGCCATAGACCGCTGCAGTTTTTGTTTTGGTTTACTTATTAAAATGTCGTACCACTTACGGGTTAAATATGGAAATAAATACCAATATAATAAATATTAAATATACACATACAATTAACACTAATGACTGAATCCAATCAGATTCATTTTGTTCTAAGTACATATTATGATATATATTTATTTGGTATAATCGTATAGATAAAATTAGACATTTTTTTTAAACTTTATTGAGTTTTATATTGCACCAAAGTATTGTGTATTATTTATAACATACTAAGTTATCAATTGCGTAAATTGCGATATTGTTAACATTTATATTTCTAACATAATAAGTAATAACTAATTTAATTTAATTTAACAATTAATATAATTGATATACCTTTATACAAATATAATAATTCATGATATGTTTAATTATGTAAAACAGGTAGTAATCTCTATTGATGAATATATAATAATATAATGTTTTATATTACTAATATATAGTATAAGTCTAAACAGTACTTTATGATAGACAACTATGACTATATTATGTTAATTAGTAAACTGTTTAGCACTATTGGTTAATTCAATAATAATTTTCTTCACACACCATGTTTACTTAAGTGTAATTTATGTTTTTACAATATTCATGATCAACATCTCAAAAAAGTAATAATATTTTGGTATATATAATAAATAATAATGTATATAACACTTAATATTCTAAAAGAATTTTGCGTACCACAGCCGTAATATAAAACAGTATTTATATAAGTTTTAATATTGTATAATATATTAAACAATACATATATACCACAAAACAGTTAACATACATATTAGTCACTTAACATTATAAAAGTAATGAATACAATTTAAAAAAATTTCAGAATCTGTGGAACATCATTAATATAGGCCATTATGGTTTTAATGTTAAACTGTGTCATTATTATTATTATTATTATATTTAAATTTAAACTATTTATTGTAAATCTATTTATTAAAATATTATAATTATGTATATTTTACACTGTATGTCTGTACCATACTGTATATTTAAAATAAAAAGTTAAAAATATAAAAGTTCTTTGAACAATTTTGAATTGGAATATTCAAATTGTACCAATTAGTAATTTAGTTATTTGTTGTATTAATCATATTTCAAGTTAAATATAAATTCTTATGTAATTATATTTATTACAATAATTAGATAGAAAATACATTTATTATAAACTACAAAGGTACAAATTAACTTAATTTAAATTTATAGTATTTTTATAAACAATAGTTTGATTCTTACAATCTTAACAATAATTTAATGTTTCATTCCTCGCAATCATAATTAATTTCAAAAATGATAAAATTATTATTAAAATTAATCATTATTCAGTTGTGTAATTTCATCTATCTGAAACTGGTAATGACAAAATATATGTATGAACGGAAGAAAACATAATTGAGTAGTCCATTTTATACATTGATATCCTAGTTTATCTGGAACTTGAAAACCCTCTTTTGCTGACTATAAGAAACAAAAAAATACATTTAATTGTAATTCTTGTAAACATATATTTTTAAGTAACTGTAACATAGG